AGTACCACAAAACCATCAGAAAGCCAGTAAGCAGCAATTGATAGTCTTTAACCAGACCAGCAAGGTGTGGTTAAAGACCACGCAATAATAAGTCAATAAACCAACCTTGAATGACTGTAACCCCTTGCCCCACTAAATTTGAATGTGGTGCGCAAGCTGGAAGCGTCAGCCTGGTGCGCTGAAACGTCAGAGATGAGACCGGCATTCGCCACTTCTCATATATGCGCGTCTGTTTCTACTTTCTCTGTTTGCCATACCAATTACACATCAGTATAAAGCAGGGTGATTGTTCAGGCAGGAAATCAATTAATGAAAACCAAAACTGATTGGGACTTTTTAATATTGGCAAATTATGTTCATAAAGTAAATCAATCACCATGAGCATTGAATTATAAAAATATCCAAAAATATTCACCGAATACACTCACATTACAGTCAAAGATTGAAATCATTCCACCATGGAGACTATATAGTAAGGATATGTAAATGTAAACATTATCCACATGCAAACTGAGAAATTTTAAATCCAATCATGGCAAGAAAATGAAAAAGGAGTTTGCCTCAGTTATTATTGTACCATGGCATTAAGAGGCTGACGATATAGAATTTACAAATAATGTTTCAGTTTGACTGAACATCATGTCTCATAAGAAAATCTCCAATTCATGCACAGGTTTTTATTCAATTTCAGCTGTTCATATCATATTTTATCTCATAAAATGTTAAAGTGGATTGTGTGGCATTTTCCACTGAGAGTCCTTTATGTCACTGTTTGTATCTAAAGCCTGCATCAGTCAAAGGGAAGTTAGAGGAGAGCATTATTATGTCCACATGATGACAAACTGCATTAGTTTGAAGGCTCCACATTTTATTACAGGCTACAGGGACCTCTAATTTCATTTCAATCCACTTTGTGGAAATGACAAAATGTTATTATATTCAGCAGGTGTATCAAACATTACCTACCTACTATTTATTTTCACTTTATTTGCTTAAGTAACTCAGGGGTATGGGTGCATAATTGTTTTAAGCTTGAGAGATTCCCTGTTCATAATAAATCATCTTTTTCTCCTTTGATCTCCTGGGAAGCTCATACTGACTGACTTTATATTGTTCCTTTGGAGCAAGTAGACTTTTGTCTATTCATTTAAAACTTTCTCTTTTATTTTATTTTTTTTAGGGCCCAGGGAGATTACCTTGACCTCCACTTTTATTTCTTATAGGTTTGCCTCAAAAGCAGATATAATTAACTCATGCGTCCTTAGTTAACCGGCCATACTTTTGACAGTAATTAGGTAAGTTTCCCACCTCAAGTTGTAAGATAATCTATCAAAATTGAGAGAAATAATCCTGCTTATAGCTTAGATTTTCAAAAAATTCTCTGTAAACAAGCATTTGTTACTAACAAGAAAAGTTTTCTTTCCAGATTCAGGTAACAGTAGGGAAGATGGTGAGAGTGATGAGGAGGAAGAGGAAGAAGGAGGGAGGAGTCCTTTTTAATCTAGAAATTATTATATCTGAACTACTGGTTCCTCCAGCTTTATAAGATTGCTTTTCCTAATCATGGCCCCTGCGTGTGTTTGATCTCTAAGATGAACAGATGATTAGTTTTTCATGAAACCGTTCAAGCAAAACACTCCAGTGCGAGCTGTTGATTTAGTCGTTTGAGCGGCAGCAGACCCCTCCGTCTGCTGCACGCCAGCCTCGAGCCGGAGACCACATGGGAGCTGGAGCGGGTCAGGCAGGGTCAAGTCTATGGGTAATGATATATCACCTGCCATATATTTAAGGTTTTCTAACTCTCCTCTCAATTATGACCACTCCTCTACCCGACACAATCAATTTGAGCAGGACTGAGCGCTTTTTTTGGCAGGGAAATGACAACATTCTGCTGCTGCAAATCACTGGCAGTCCGACCCAGATGATCCCATCATGTTTATGTGCATGCATGATTTCCTGGACCTCTGTCAGAAAATAACATGTGATTATTTAAACAAAATGAACCAAACATGAACAAGAAAAACAATTCAAGCGTCTTTAATTTAAATATGTACTTATTATCTACTTATTATTAAATATTTATTTATATTTATTTAAGTTACAGGGTGTAATATTAAATGAATTTACTGACATCTCTTTGTATGTTATTTGTTATCATCTATGAACTTAAATTCTCCATTTTTATGTTTGCTTTGCCTTAGAAATTGTTACTTATAATCGTTTTCAACAGTCGGTTTGAAATTGTGGAGGTAGACACTTTTTGCGCTATGGTAGCGCAGAGCTGACAAACTGGTGACTGTAGAGATCACCATTACGCTCGATTGGGACTGTCAGGCCTATATACGATCCTACAGAGATAAATAATAAAATACTATTTCTATAATTAGCTTTTTAAACTAGACTGGTTACGAGCAGCAACCGCCAAGTTATTATGACAGATTTCAAGTGCTGGTTGTTGCTTTTTTTATTTTTTGGGCTGAATCGCATCTTTCCATGGTTGTTTTGGTCAAAGTGACCTAAACAGGGAAAAAATCTCCTTTACTGTTAAGATAAGGGGAGAGAAGCCTGTCAGCTATGCTGCCCTTTGGAGCTAAGGAAACACCGCGGTAGAGGCTGCCGCTTGCCGCTGTAAGCACAGGAAGACAGCCGAGGAAAACAGCGGTACCTCGAATCGGCCTGCTGGGAGACAGATTATTAATGGCCCGATGGCTAAAGAGTTAGCACTATGTCTCCAGCGCAGTCTATGTCTGTGCCGGAGGTAGGACACAAAACAGTCTTTCTAGGGCTAAATTAAAACATCTTTTTTAAAAGCCACTCACAAACCTCTTAAAGGGGAACGCTGTTTTTTTTTCTTTTTTTACATTGGGCCCTTGATTTTACGTTATTCCATCATGTTCTACTCACCCATATGAGTTTTGTGTCATTTAGCGCTGTTCTGAAGATATTCCGTTAGGTTATATCAAAGTAACATCTTCCTATGGGCAACAACTTGAAGGCACAAACTAAACTGTTCATGATTTATTCGTTATGGTACCCCAGCATTCATAACATGTAGGCGAATCACTGTCCCCCAGACATCCACGGTTATATTTTTTATATTTATATATTTTTAAAACAAAGTGGCGCATGTGTGACGTCATCCGTGCGCCGGACTGGAGCTGTGACAGGCAGCCCGCACCCCAGGCAGCTCCGCTCTACCCCTTCTATTGATTCGGCTAGCTAACCTGAATTGTTCGATACCATTTTGAGAGCGAGATCATCTGTGGTATTTGCACTAGACATCTTCCAGGCATGTGAGTAAAATTAGGTGCAGTTCAGCGGACAGGATGAATGAATGGTAGCCGATGACGTCATACACACTACTCTTTGTTTTTAAGAAATCTAAATATAAAATATATAATCGTGGATACAATAAATGATAAATTATGAACAGATAGTTTGTGCCTTCAAGTAGTTGCCCAAAGGAAGACATTACTTGGATATAACCTTACGGAATATCTTCAGAACAGCTCCAAATGACACAAAACTCATATGGGTGAGTAGAACATGATGTAATAATGTAAACTCAAATGCCCAATGTAAAAAAAATATTGGCGTTCCCATTCCCCATTTTGGCAACATTATTTTCTCTTTCTTTCATTTAGATTTTAAAAAGCTTGGCTCCACTGCCACATTCACTAAAAAGGTGGATAATTTCCTGATACTTTCTCATCCCCTAATTCGTATACTTGTCAATGTAAAGTACTCGAGACAACAGTGTTGAAGGATTTATGGATTTAATGCTGTGATCTAATGTAAATAAACCTCGTCATCACTTGAAAAAATAGGTAAAGCGGTCGTTGCAGAACCATTTTGTACAATGACAGCCTCCGTATTGCTAGAGGGGAGAGGGTGTGCTGGTGGGGTGGTTCATGCCACTGCAGTCAGCAGTCTGACCATTAGCTTTAAAAAAAAAAAAAAAAAAAGGGCAGCCACACAAACAGTTTTGAGAACTTGTACAAATTGGAGCGTTTTCTAAGTCAATAATAGCCATTTCTCTTTTAGAGTGTTTTTATCACCACTATGACAAATTCTCTAAATAAAAACATATATGAGCAGATTCTTTGACAAGCTGACGACTAAAGCTTGAGACAGTCATTTTTAAAAGCTGCTTTTTTTTACGGAAGTTATTTTAATTCCCTGTATTCCACCAAAAGACAGCTATGCAAAGGCTTAAATTGTTTAAACATCTGTTCAAGAAGCTCCTCAGATGAATGTCTTTTACTTGTAAAGCAAAGCTGCACCATCCCACATCTCAGCGTAATGGGCTGACTGCTCGTGTAACCGGCTGAGCGAGGATGAAAAGAAGGTGAAATAGCTTATTTAACCAACAGAGAGCAGGGAACTGCGGGGGGGATCAGTTCTCTAACGGTAAAGTAGGGAGGAGACAGGAAGTGGTGCACACATCCCTGCTCTTCGAACCGAGCGGAGTGGTACAGGGCACACAGCAGGAAGGCTGGAGATGAAGGCTGCATGTCCTCTGTAGCCTTCACACTGATTAGGTACAGCTGCACCAGATCATATGGCTTGTGGACTAATTGTAGCTCACAAGCGAAGCATACCTTAGGCATTTGAGTGTGTGTTTGAGTGTGTTTGTTTTTTTTGTGTTTTTTCTTTGCTTTTTCTTTCTGTTTGCTTTCACATATTGATTGATTGATTGATTGATTGATTGATTGATTGATTGATTGATTGATTGATTGATTGATTGATTGATTGATTGATTGATTGATTGATTGATCTCAGTGGAGAATTTTTACATATGACTAAGTTACTCATATGTGCGTCAACATTTGACAGCTTTTTTAACGATGTTCCATCCTTGCCTTTGTGCAACAAACAGTACCCTTGCATCCTGTCATCCTAACAGGTTTGCTGCTATAAATTTTTATGGAAATGCTTTAAAAAAAATAATTCAACAATAAACAGCAAACAGCAAAACAGTTTTTTTTTTATTCATACAGAAAAAATTATTTTATTTTTTTTTGCAAATGGGGGGGGCATATAAGGTTGACATAAAAGTCTAACCATACTTCCAGCCTTCTTTCCAGAACTACATAGCAGATTGGGACTTTATATTTCTTCTGCAAATGATCTTGTCCAGTCCCACTGATCCCCTCCCGGCTCCTGATATTCACAGATCTTTGTAGATGATCTGTCGACAGAAGAAAAATGACACGGTTTTAAAAAATGTATACAAATACCCAATAACTTCAAAGACACAATCATTCTTTTCTCAATCTCATTATTATTTTAATATCAACTTACCTATTAAATAATATTAGAAATCATCAAACAAATATAAAAAACTTTGTTTATACATATTAGCTACATTATCAATATTTGACAAAATCATTTTATAACATCATATACATGTTATCAAGATCCCTCTTTTTGTATCCACACTCATCATACCTGTTAAAGAAACAGAAAGGTATGTTTCATAGATAATTAAGGTGCATCATTGTCGTAATTTAATGGATATTCCCTTAGTTATGAGTTATTATTTAGCCGATCTTAACCTGATTAAAATAAATAATTATCAATGAACCTTATCTAACATGAAAGCAATCATGCTTTTCATGTTTTCAGGTTCGGTAATACTAGTCTGAAAAGCGGGTCAGAGGATCTTTAATCACATCTGCAGAGAAGTAAAAACTCAAGTTTGAGCACATTTAACCAGATTTGGCTTCATTTCACTGGCTGAATCTGAGATCTTTGAACTTTTAAGTTTCTTTTATTAAATACTGCCTTGCCCTATTCTACATCTCGGACCCTTTCGATATTTGTTGAGTTGTTAGGTTTATATAGATCAACCGTTTGTTTTTGTGTATTGTATCTTTGTGTATTTTTTAATTTTCTATATTACCGGTAGTTATTTTGTTTGTTTATAATTTCTTTCTGTCTTATGAATGCTTAATGAATAAAGTTGGATTAGATTGGATTAAAACGTAACACAAGCGTTGACTCCATTAAATATTGGATTTATTCATTTTATTTAGCTGCCTCATTTGATTTCATTGGTTTTCTGCTCAGTTTGAGACTATTATTTTATTCTTTTAGCCTCATTGACATAAGCATAAACATCAAACTGTAATGGCATCTGTGGTCAGTCAAATTTGACTATGAGGTTCAGAAAGAAAAAAACTGTAGCCTTGAAATAGTTTGAAGAAATATTTTCTGAGGTATGTTCACCAAAGAGTACGTTGTAATTTTTTTCTCTGCCCATGGAGTTGCAGTTGATTGCATCACTGCAAAGACCCAATAAATACCCCTCTATGAATTGTAGGTCCTGCCAATATTTGAAATGCATGTGGGGGAGCAAAGATCCACATTTATGTTTTACTACACATTTGTCTGTCAGGGATCTCTTTTAAAACTATTTTTTTTATAGTGCTGCCACCCTCACTAGTACAGTTACAATGCTAGTCTTTTATGCAAACATACTTTACTACTGTTTGAGATAAATGCCTATGGTGTTAGGCATAAGATGTCTTTCTTCTTATCTACAATTTTTTATCAAGAGAAAATATTTGTGTTTGGTTTTTTTTTTCATTATCTTCTGTAGCTATTTCCATTGTACAATGAAATATATCATTACATTGTATTATCATTCAGTGATTGTGGAGGCTCTCCATCTTTTTTTTCACACCAACTCTACCAGGCTGAGGGAGAACAAAAACTAACAAGCACTTGTCAGTTCTCAGCCATCACTGACAAGCAACTCTTGTGGACTTCTCCTCTTATCTTTCCCTCTCTCACACCTGGCAGTCATCTAAAGAGAGCATATTTCATTGAATTTGTTATGTTCATGTGTGAACGTACACATTGGTGTGCACCTGCATTTGTACACATGTACGTATAAATGTGTGTGCGTGTGTGTGTGTGTGTGTGTGTGTGTGTGTGTGTGTGTGTGTGTGTGTGTGTGTGTGTGTGTGTGTGTGTGTGTGTGTGTGTGTGTGTGTGTGTATGAGTGCATACATGTGTCAGAAACTTGACATGATCTTGTCTCTGGTGAAGGCCTTGGATCACTGGGCCTTGCACACTTCAGACCTGACAGTGCAGCTGAACTAATCAATATCTCACTGCAGTCAAAGGTGGGCTCTGCCAAGAGGCCGCGGGGGTGCACTAATTGATGGAATCTCACCGCTGGCTAGCTCCATGCCCTGGGGCGCTGGAAGACAGCAAACTTGGGCCTTTTACTGAAATGGAAGGGGAAATAGAGGACAGTAAGGCTGAGATCATAGCCAGGAAAAAGACAGAGTTGTTAAGATTTGGTTTATTTTTGTCTTGTTGTTTGTTTGGCAAAGCAAATGTTTGCATGCCATTTGTCGGAGGACATGTTTCAGAGTCTGACCGTTTTGCTTGTTTGAATTGAAAAATAATCAACACAGCAACGCTTTCAAACAGGTGTTGAAGCTGTTGTTCAGTATTCTTTGTTTTGTTCTTTAAATATCTTTACACACCACAAAACCAAACATTATGTTTCTATATAAACTGCTGGATTAATTTAGTGTTTTTAATACTAAATGAATACATTATTGATTACTGATTAGTATTGGTAAAGTATTTACTTTATTCATAGAAATTGGTGGACAAACATTGTGTCAACATAATTACCTTTGAATAATTAATAATTGATGATTATTTATTACTTTGTTGTGAGCATTTTTATTGTGATTACTTTCAAAGTAGTCTTGGTGCCAGCTCTTTGTTCACATAGAAGTGCAAAATATTTTGCCAGTTATTTTATCCAGAGAACTCCCACTTAAAACAAAGACAACACAGAAATGATCACTTGAGAGAATGCGCAGTGACTTGTTTCTCGTTTGAAAATGTATTGTTATGGTGCAGACTAAGCACGCTGGGATAATTACCATCAATAATTGAGTGAGGGGAAATGCTAGTCAGAGCTGCATTCATCGCTGGCTAAATGTGCCTGAGAGATGTGCGATGGACTCTGGCTAGCTTGCTAATTTGGCTCCCTTTTTATGTGGCACTGAAGATTATCTTTATGCTTCCACCCCCTTGGTTGTGGCTCCTCGTGAAACCTGCAACAAGAACTCACAATGTTTCCTATTAGCACCATTTATTGCTGGTTTGCTCATGCATATCGATCCTTAAGAGCATCAAAACAACATAACATAAAGGCTCCAGCAAAGGGCTCATTGCATTCATTTTTGAATTTGTTTACTTTTAGATCAAGTACATTGCTTAAACTATAAGAATTCTATCAAAGTAAAAATGGGACTGGACATTAAGCAAAATGCTTGGAACCTTTGGAAGCTCCATCATACATTTACAATAAACCTGACTTCTTGAAGTAAACACAAGATAAAACCCTTTTTTGTTATTATTTCTATATTGTACCGTTATGTGATATGCTGACTGTTGCCCTTCTAGATACACTGAGATAAACCTAATGTGTTTCTGGCTTGAGGGCAGTTGTAGGCTAAGCTTTTGATCCTTTCTTTGTAAAAATCCAACTTGCCTCTGAAATGCACCACACATCTGACATCCAATCTTAACAATGAACAATATTTTAAGCATAAAATATTGTAGTATTGCATGGCAGGAAAATCAAGCATGCAAGTAGACTCTTCCTAAACTCTTGAAATCCCAATTTTGAATTTGCTTGCTGTGTTTGTGTAGCTGGATTGTTATCAACTATGAATTCACACATGGGTTTTCAAAAGCAAATATGCAGTACTAAAGAAATTCTAGCAACTGCATTGCAGCCTGTGTGTAAAGGACCGTTGAGTCCTCCCCAACAAAGAAAGTTCACCATTAGTATTGACTGAAAACAACAGCCGAACCGCCTGAGAATCTGGTGCACTTTCCGAAATGGAAATCAGGCTTTCTCTGAGACGTACACACTTCTCCATCCCCTGCTGCTCAGAAAGCTTTGCCATTCACCTTTAAACAGCGGAACAATAATCAATGGAGCATTATTTATGCTGAAGCCATTCATCTGCACTCCTGTGTTACCCTGCTGGGTGTAAAGCTGCTTAAGTCATGGAGCTCACACGGTGGACTGTATTGCATGCATGGGTTCAAATGAAATCTGTTGCAGCTGACATAACAGTGCTCAATACATTTCCAAAATAGGGTTGTTGCCTTTAATTATCCATACGTGTAATTTTTCTTTCAAGTAAATACATTAATAATGGTATTCTTACACTGATTGTACATGATTGTTACAGATCTATTTCAAGGATGACAGCACTGCTCCCTATCTCACCAGCTTATAAGCAGTACTATGTGGGAATTTTCAATTTTCAGTTAAAAAGGAATCATCCATGTTTGCTTCAATCTTTAATAAGCAATGTTTCCCTACACAAGTCCTTCCACAATCCCTCTAAGATCCCTCTGTGAATTTTTCATAAAGCAAGTCTCTGTTTCTTGTTCTTGAGCTGTCTCAATACACCAAAGCCTATTGCTTCCATGTCCGACCCAGTGAATTTATCGGTTGTAACAAGAGTGAGAGCAGAGCAATGGCACCAGGGAAGAAGAGGGAGTGAGCTCCTTCATTACAGGAGGCAGATGTAAATCAAACTAATTATGGAGCCACTACGGTATCGAACCCATGGAGGGGAAATGAAATGATCAGAGGCAGGTCGGTGCTCAACAGAGAGCAAGTTAATGAAAATATTAATTACCTGGTGATATAGTATGAACACCTCACCCGCCCATAGCCCCTCTCTGTCTCCCTCAAAGCCCAAACCACAGAGAGCATTTGTTTTAATTGAGTAATAATAAGACTGTTACATTTGGCTGACTCACTTGATTAGAGTAGGTAATTGACCAATAAAGGGACATGATTGGCAATTATAAAATCCAATGTAGTGCTAAATACTTAGAAACTCTTAAGTGTCCAACTAACACAGAGAACATTACAATTCAGAGGAGATGGTTATTCTCAAAATCATAAATTCAGAGCGTAGTGAGATCAGAATCAGTTAGTTCCACATAACAGACAGAGCCCACAAACAGATTTATCCCACTAATATTATGGTGAATTTGGCTATCAGTATCAGATTTGGTCACGTGATTGATTTTCCTCTGTTTTTGTTCTGAATAATTCAGTGGTACACTTTATCTCCTCACCTTGCCTTCTCCTCAGACTGCTGCTTTCTCTCCCCCTGCTGCTTTACAGTGTGTGACAATGGTCAATAAGAGGCAGAGATCTGGATCCTGATTATTTCAGACAGTATCACTTGTAGAATATGCAGACTGGAGGGTAAGGGGGAGCCCAAACAGATGACATTGCTCAGCAGTCGTAACGTAATTAGAGATGGTATTAACATCAGTTTGCATAGCTGAAGTTTTAGGCATTCACAAGACATGTCCCAGAAAATTAACTCTTGTGATTGTTTTTATGTTGTGACGGTAAAAGGTAGAAGGTAAACTTTTAAATTGTAAGAGAGCAATACAAAATCTCTGAGTTATACTGTTTTTCATTATTTTGACATATAACACATGAAAGACATTTTAAAAATCCTTACTTTAGAAAGCTTTAGTCTAGTTTAATGGCTCTGAAAAAGATGTTTAGTTAAATAAAGTGCAAGTAAATATCTGATTTCAAATGTAAGTGTAAGTTTTTTGTGTCAGAGTTTGTACAAGGACCCAAAACGCAGAGGCTGAGGCAGAGATGGTTTCTTGTAGATTTAGTAATGATGGAAGCAGTCGTATAAATCCAAAGGGAAAACAGGCAAGGAACAGGAAGCTGAGCAGAGTAACACAGGAGGTGAGTGACAGGAATTATTGTAGATAATCCTGCAAAGACTAACTGCAGGGAAGGAGTATATATAGAGGGGAGGAGAATACTGAATAATGTGAGGAGATTATTACTTGACTGGTAGAAGGTGTGGTCAGCAAAAGCTGGTAGGGAACTAGGGGAGAAGGAGAGTGGCACTAGGGGCAATGAGAAAACATAGTCTTAGATAACAAAAACTATAAATATAAGAAACTGCGGAATATATTAAATTAATACTAAAAATGCTTAAAGTAAATAACTAAAGTAAACAACAAGTAAGAGTTAAACTAAGACGTCATTCAAAAATGATACAAAACTTAACAGCAAACACAACACAAAAATCAAAGCGTACCAAAAAATCTAGAAAAGCAGATACTGACCTACAGCACATGTTGCTTCTTAAAGATATTATTTTAGAAGACTGAACTGCTCCTCTTGATGTAGATTATTTTTCTCTGCTTATAAAAAAGTATAATGGATATAAATGGTCTCTAGTGAGTTGTGTCTGATAGAAGGTTCTGTGTAATAATTAATTTACTAAAATGATCAGAGGTATACTGATCTACTTGTAGCTTTAAATCTGCCAAAACCCTGTTGAAGGAGCATGTGAAACAATTTGGATCTAATTTAGCACTAAGTCAATCCAAAAACAGAATTTCCAGGCATTACTCTCGACAACACCAAATGCCAAACACAAGTCAGTTTTTATTCACACATTTCGACAAGGTTTGAAGGACAAATTGATTTTATTCAAGCAACCTAGCCTGGGCTCTGAAACCCTCGCTGAGATACATCAATGTGACTGCTGCTTATTACTCTAGCATAATTAGACATGTCAACCTATGCCGCTCAATGAGGTGATGCATTCATTCAGCTACCTGTCGGGCTTGCAGCTAGTGAGTGAGTGAATTAGTTTTACATAGTTCATGGCTTTCCTCTATTCAGAGTGACAGCCTAATCAGTAGTTTGTCAAAGTCGACTCTAGCTCCACCTGTCAAACCTGCCAGTCTTCTTAGGAGCCAATGAGGTCCCCAGAGTAATAAGCAGGGGAGCTGATGCTGTACCGTGTGACCTGCAAGGTGTGAAGTAAGGCTGCTACAGACATCATAATCATTTTCAGGACACAGAGTATTGATGAAAGACGCCAGGAGTGGCTGAAATCTAACATGGGATCCTGGAGGCACTCAGTGAAGTCTCTTGGGTGTGATCATAGTTGTAACACAATGTATTGTGTGATGGTGATGCAAGGCAGCTGCAACATCTGTTGGATGTAGAGAAGATGGTAACAGAAGCTGAAGGAGTTTTTTTTCTGTCTTCATACCTGTTTGTGTTTGGTTAGAAGGACAAGCGATTAATGTCTGATTCATCTTTTAACTGCATGAACAAATGCAACCAATCGGTTCTCCCCAAATGTTGTGTTTATTGGTTGATTGATGCAACTTTTTA